AATTTTCAGGAGTTGTATGCAACACTTATGCTTCAATTTTATTGGTTAGAATTTAGTCATGTGGCCACATCATATAAGGGTATATATAGACTTGGCTGGGAAAAGTAGTCTTTTTCTGGATAGTAATGTGTAACAGTAAAAATACTTAATAAGCAACTGACAGGCACTGTCACCAACAGGGAATAAAAAATGGATGATGTCTTTAATGACAGTTTTGCAGCAAATTCAAATATGGCATTTATAAAAATGTGTCACCAGAGGCAAGAGAACAGAGTCCTGTGGCCACAAAATATCTATACTATTTTACTTAGCTCAGGTCTTGGGCATTTCTCCAGGAGAAGTAAATGCTGAAGCTCCAGAAAAATAATTACATATTTAACATGTTGACTCTAGTTCACTTCCCTAGGGACCAACCAACTTTTAAAACATGAAGTTCTAATAAGGGAAACATAAATCCAATTCTTACTCATGAGATGTAATTGATGCATAGTGTTATGTTCTTTTGGCCTTCTAACAGGCAATAGATAAACAAAACTTTTGCCTGTGGTTTCTGTAAAAATTTAATTGTGGGGAAAGTGCCTTGTCCAAAGCAAGTATGTAATCCAGATGTCAGGAGTTCTCCCTAACCCTTTAGGTCTAATGAAGATGTATTTGAGCCCCATTGCCTGGACTGTGGAAGAAGACCAGTGCTCTTTTCAAGGTTACCATGAGCATCAGAGGGACTCAGGTTCTTATGGTCACCTCTGGTTCTGTCTACTTGCTTGTACACATTGTCTATATTTTGTTTGTTTGGTTTTTTGCAACAGAGTTTTGTCTGTTGCCCAAGCTGGAGTGCAATGGCACGATCTTGGCTCACTGCAACTTCTGCCTCCCGGGTTCAAGTGATTCTCCTGCCTCTGCCGCCTGAGTATCTGGTATTACAGGCATGCACCACCACACCTGGCTAATTTTGTATTTTTAGTAGAGATGAGATTTCTCCATGTTGATCAGGCTGATCTCAAACTCCTGACCTCAGGTGATCTGCCTGCTTCAGCCTCCCAAAGTGCTGGGATTACAGGCGTGAGCCACCGCACCTGGCCCAAATTGTTTGTTTTTATAGATTAACTTACTCATGTTGTTCCTTTTCTAATACTGTGTGGAGGCTGAGATAAGACTGGGATATTTTTCTCATTTTCCATACACATAAAAATGCAAATCAAAAGAAAACCTATAACAAAACCAGAAAACTGCCATGGTAATTTAGTGTGGCTGTGGCTCAGACTTTCCTGAAATATATCAGAGTAGAAAAACACATCAGATGTACGGACAAATTTAAACCGTAGACATATTTGGGATTAAAAAGTCTTTTAGCCACTACGCCATTTGAGACATTTTCTTGGCAGTTTTATTCTCATTTCTGCTTTTGCTAATCCCTTCTTATATGGTTTGGCGGTGTCTCCACCCAAATCTCATCTTGAATTGTAGTTCCCATAAAATTCCCACCTGTTGTGGGAGGGACCCAGTGGGAAGTAATTGAATCATGAGGACAGTTACCCTAATGATGCTGTTCTTGTGATAGTGAGTTCTCACGAGATCTGACGGTTTTATAAGGGGCTTCCCGAAAGGCACTTCGCTCTGCACTTCCCCTTGCTGCTGCCATAGGTGAAAGACGCGTTCGCTTTCCCCTCCACCGTGATTGTAACTTTTGTGAGTCCTCTCCAGCCATGCTGAACTGTGAGTGAATTAAACCTTTGCTATTATCACAGGCAGCCAGGTTTTTGTTGATGTCATTCTACATTGAACTACCTTTGATCTATGGCCTGCTTTTACGATTTTAGCAGTGAAAATGAGAGCCCTTTAGGAGGCTGAAATTAGATTATGAATGTAAAAGACAAATCACAATGCCTGCAAATAAGTGCACGGTAGTTATTTAATAAGTGTTAGATATTGTTACTAAATAATCTTCGATCGATACTGCTTTTCTCATTGAGAGAAATGTTGAGTCTGTTTATTCTTCTGGTGCAGAGTAGTTTTAATCTGAATTCAGAGACCTCCAGAATCTGGATTTGGGGCCTGAGCCTAAGTCGGAAGTCATGGTCAGCTGGCTCTCAGGACCTGTCAGTTCTTGATGTGATTTTGTAGGAACACTGGACTGCTGGTTTTCTGTTACTGTAATTCAGTTGTGAAAATGCAGCAGCTAGCTATTTTAAGAGTCAACCAGGTGAGCACTGTCTATAGTCAATTAACTAATGTAGTGAGAGGGAAAGGTGATAACTATCTTTTAAAGTGTCTGATATCTGACTAAGCTGATCTGACTAATGATAATTAAATTTGAGCTTCACAACAGAAATGAACAATAAAAAGTTACAACCAGCCAACATCTTAAGAATGTCTTCCCCTCTGTATCTTTACTTCTGCCTTGCAAACATCATCTTTTACTCTCTTCACTAACTCCTTTCTTAACCTGCCTTCCCCCACCACACTCTTCTACCTTTAGAAGAAAGAGGCTCTTCTGCCTCTTTAGATCCCTTGCTTTAAGTTTTCATGATTTAAGAACCATAGTACTTTCTTTTTCCTTAGAATTTATCACACATATTCAATAAATGGCCAATTTCTCTTTTAAAAGTAGGAAGACTATTTTCCATTGTAAATAAAGCACACTCCTATTTTTCACACTCAATTGAATTTCCCTATACAATATTATTCCTTAATTGAAAATGGCTTATTCTAATGGGCCCAAATGTTCCTACCTCTCTGTAGATTCTCAAGTTATTTAACAGCCATTTCTTGAAAATTTATTATATGTTGGACACCGAGACAGATGCTGTAGATTAAATTAGATTTGGCTCCCTTCCTCAAGGAACATGTAGTATATGTGGAAAGATAAGACAAAAATACACGATACACAATTTAAAATACTGGTTCAAGGCCTTATATATAAACCTCCGACTGTATGTCCTGACAAGAGGTTTAAAACTTAAATATGCCAGACTCAGGTTAGTGATACAGTTATATTGTCTCTAATTTCCTAACAGCAGACTAAATTCTGATGAAAGGCACTTCCCAGGGCTCTTTAAAAGGAAAGCAAAACATGGATTCATTTTCTTTTAGAATGAAATCTATAAGAGTGACACAGCCATGAGTCCTATTATACAGCCATATTTTCTCTTTTCTGAAGATTATTACAGTAGATTTGCCCCATATTCTAGATTCACTGTCTCTGGCACTCACTCAAAATAGAGTATCATTTAAAAGAAAGACACTTCTTTCCTGATATATATGACTAATATTTCATTTAAAATGTCATTTTAGATGTAATAGTCAAGTCCTGGGTCTCAATTAGGCAAAGGTAGTCAGATTCTCTATAAAAGGAACTGAAGACAGAAAAAGTAGCTACTTTTTTTTTTTAATGTAAGAAGAAAAAAAAATACTTTCTTAGATTACTCACTGGTTATCTGGGATGAGTAATAAATTATGTAGCCTCAAGAAGCCCTTAACTAGGAAGAAGAAAGTGTCCTTTCTTACTGACATCTTGGGGGGGTAGATTAGAGAGGCTGACCACTTTCACCCTGAAGATGATATGTGTTTTTAATTTACCCTTGCACCTGAGAGGCTCACAGATCTATGGTCTCACCTGAGATCACAGGTCAGTGTGCAGAGAGCCAGATAAGGATAGATTAACTTTCACAGGTCTTTCATATATCTACTTGGATTTTGATTTATTCTATAAGAGCAACTGATTTCTATATGGAGGGCAGAGACAATATCACAGGATAGGAGAAGTCATTATTTATATACCACCATCAGTTCTCAAAAATAGTGCTTCCCTGATTTGCTTAACAAAAGGCAGCTTCCCAGAGCATTTGAACTACCTTGGGCATAAGGAGAAGAGTGGGTTGGGTAGGGGTGGGGCAAATGGAAAGCTAGAGATTATAGGCATTTGACATGTTGAGAAAGATGGTACAGTAAAGTGAAATGGCTTGACTAAAGAGAAAAAGTAACAGAATTTCAGGACCTCTGGTGTAGGGGAGAGCTAGATTTATGAAGGAGCTTGAGATGAAATGGGAATCTATTGTTTAGTGGGCCTGAGATGTTTCTGATTTTGAACTCGTGTGCGCGTGTGCATGTGTGTGTGTGTGTGTGTGTGTGTTTAAATGGTAATCAATGCATATTTTCAAATGTTTTCGAGACTTACAAAGATATATAACAAAAGTGCCCCTATAATCACTGCCTCTTACATCACCCAATCTCAATATTGGAGGCAACTGATATTACCAGTTTTTTTGTGTGTTCTTCCAAAGATGTTTTATGCATATATAATATGACTGTATTCTATTCCTTTGCCAATATGGAAGAAAGCTTTATGAGAGTTACAGGCTTTGAGTAACAGACGAGCTCCAGAGCATTAGAACTGGCCAGAATGCCAACCCATTTTCTTGAGAGATAAAAAAACAAAAAAAACAAAAATACTCTGCTGAAAATAGAGCAATACATACAATAGTTTGAGTATTGTGTAGCTGCCTTGTGTTACTGGACATACATTAAAATAGAGGAGGCATAACTTATTAAGGGAGTTAGTAAGTTACAGTCCTCCTTTGCTTAGGTTACCTTGCTCCTTTGCTTAGGTTACCTTTGCTGGCAACGTAACCTAAGCAAAGGACAACTGTCCTTTAGAGCTCTGTCACATTATAGTTTAGGTAAGTTTTTCAAGATTTATTATGCAATATTCATTTTCAGGACTTTAGGAATTTAATTTCAAACTTATGCCTAGAAAAAAGTAAATGTCTTTGACCTATTGAGTTATTATCTCTGATTATGACATAGCCTGTTTTTTCCTTAAATTCCAATTCTTCAAGGCCAGAAACTGCTTTATTTACCCTTCTATTTTCCACTTAGGCTAGTGAGTGGAATTCGGTAGACACTATAAATACGTGACAGATGAATGACTAAATGAATACATTTCTAAATAATCAACCAAGCCACCAAACAATCTGTGGCTTAATTTCTTTACTTTCCAACAATGTGTATTTTCATTTCAGCTTTAATTAAAATGAAAAACAGTCATAATCATTCCGTTTTTAGTATTTCTCTGTGGCAACATTTTGTGAAATTCAAGGTGGCCATTCTTATGTCAGTTTTGCTAGGTTAACATGTTAATGAAGAAATATTTATATTTTAAAATTCTTTTTTTGTCTGTTTTATCTTCAGTTTCCAAAAGGGCAAAACATCTGTGTATCTGGAACAAAAGACAAAATTAAAAAAAGAGATTAAGCACTTATCAACATTTTTTTTAAACATAACATTTTAGCACTAGAGGCGGGGATAAAATCAATCATTTAAAATGTTCTGTATGAAGGGGGTTCAATTTAATTAGTTAATTTACTTAAAAGATGACTCAATCTGCACAATTAGAATATCAATAAAAACACAACTTTTACATATAGAACAAAGAATTTCCATTATTATGATTGCTAAAACAACAACAACAAAAGCATTCTTTGCACAGCTTTGCTATCAGGAGCCTTTGCATTTGACATTTTGGAAGCAAGAAAAGGGAAGGGCTTGACAAGTTGAAAAGCCAATTCATCATGATGTCTGACATTTGGGAGCTGATATTATCGTCTGCAGTTTAAAATTCAGAATTGATAAAGTGCAATCATATAATATAGGCCAGCAAACAAAGGGTCTTATTGAAATATATGTACTCTGGGAAAATAACATGGAGTCACAAAAAGTTGATGGTTTTGAATTTGAATGTTTAATCCTCCTCATCCCCAATTTCTACAAAACAGTGAGTTTCTACCTTCTACAAAAACAAAATTGTATGTGCAGAAGACCTGATTTTATATAGAGGGATTTATAAAGCAGGATTTTATATAGTGGATTTAAAAATACACTATATGACTTTTCTCATCATGGTTAAGAGGCTTTTTTAAAACATGTATCATGTGATATTTGTTGACTATTGTTTGCTTTATTTCTAATCAAAATATGAAGGCATATGAAAATATGTTCAATGCTACTATGGAGATTCTGCTTAGGACACCAATAATAGTTTTGACACTGCTATGTGCTTATACATAAGGTTTACTTGTTAGGGATTCCTATCTGGTAACATCAGTAGGCATATTCAGCACTTGCATCAGAACGTATCCAACTGGAGGAATTCTTCAGCAACTGTGTTATAACTGAGCAAGTTGTAAGGAAAGCGTGCCACACTCTGAGATTGAATCAGGAGTCCTTTATTGCTGGCAACCGAGAGACTAATGCTCAAAATTCTCTCAGCCCTAATGAAAGGGGCACGATTTCTTTTATACATCTTCTAGGAGAGAGGGGAGGGGGAGCCTAGCTGAAGTGGAATTTTACAGAAGCAGAACAAGCAAGTTAGATAAGGAAGCTGGCAACCAGGAAGCAGGAGGCTCCCAGGATTGTTGGTTACCAAGGGGGGTACACACAAACGGTTCCCATGATTGCTGGTTACCAAGGAGGGTATTCACAATAGCTTGGGGACTTGCCAAGCAGGATGTGGTTACATCGGTTACAAAGTTCTGGGTACAGTGTGACCCAGCTGTGCACCTGAAGGAGAGAATTGTGGGGAGGGAGAGGCTAAGATGGAGTCTGTCAGACTCACATCTAAGATGGAGTCTGTTAGGCTGTCAGAACTGTAGCCTCAAAAGTCACAGAAGGTGCCTCTCAGTGCCTAGATGATCTCCTTTCCTTGAATCTGATCATCCACTTTCCTTTTCATCAAAGGAATCAGCATTAGGATTGAGAAATAGGCATCAATGATTTTATGTTCATTTCTTTCCTTGTCTGGGAGTGATGATTCTGCTGTTTTCTCAAAGTTTGGCTTGCTTCATGTACTGTGTCCAGATTTCTTGCAATTACTCTTGGATCAGCAAAGCAAAATATTCCTTTTATTCCTTTCTTACAAATACTGCAAGAAAAAGCACCTAGTTATTTGTACAATTGACAACTGCCACCACTGCTCTAGGGCAGAGTGAGGAGAAATCATATTCTCTCTAATATAATCTAGAAGTGCCTGTTCATCTACCTTATGACTGAGGCATGCATTTCATTGCTGCTCTGTGATCTAATTCAGAGGAGAGATAGCTGCTGCATTTACAATTGATATATAAAAATAGCTTGTTGCACTAGACACTATCTGACGTCAATGGAATCATTAAAAAGCAGTGACCAGTCTGCAGAAAGTCTTGGTTGAAGCTAGTACAGCTCAGTCTGCAGATACTTAAGCCATATCATTTTTTCCTTTTGACAAACAGCCATCTTTTCCTATTGCAAGGTAATTTTCATCAATCATTTAGCAAATATGTGGTCGAAGTTCAAGTTCTTTTCACTACAGCATAGTGCATAATTCTGTGTTAACGGTTAGCCACATTTGAGAATGATTCATATTCTGTGGACATAGTAGGAATGGATTTATGAGGACCCATGGAAATTTCTCAGTAGATTCCTATGTAATCTGAAGCCCACAGACTTTTACTATGTTAGCTTCTACCACAGGCTTTTCTATAGGTGACTGATGCAGAAAGCCACTGCACTCTTAATAGTGACCAATATAGTGCTGAGGTCTAGTGGCAAATTCCTTCCAGGATATGTAGCTTGTACCAGGAACCAGATATAAATATAAAAATACCAGACAGAATCAGACTCATGAGCCTGTCAAATCTGTTATTCTGTAAAACATGCTGCTGTCCCTCCTTCGATATGAAGTCTTTTCCCCATTCCTCAGTATCAAGCTAAATTTAATTCTGCAAATGATCCTGAGAAGTCTTGCCTGACCTCTCTGACACATTATCTTTCCCCTTCCTCATCAGACTACTTCAGTTCTTGGTGATTGACTCAGCTGATACCGTCATCAGCTCTCTCTTACTTGTACTTTCCCAAAAGAATGCCTGCGTGAACCCTGTTCACACCATCTTTCACCATACCTTAGTTGCAATTTTTCTTTCTTTCTTTCTTTCTTTTTTTTTTTTTTTTTTTTTGAGATGGAGTCTCACTCTGTCACCCAGGCTGGAGAGCAGTGGCACAACCTCGGCTCACTGCAACCTCTGCCTCCTGGGTTCAAGCGATTCTCCTGCCTCAGCCTCCCGAGTAGCTGGGTTTACAGGCATGCACCACGACACCCAGCTGATTTTTGTATTTTTAGTGCAGATGGAGTTTCACCATGTTGGCCAGACTGGTCTCGAACTCCTGACCTCAAGTGATCCACCTGCCTCGGCCTCCCAAAGTGCGGAGATTACAGGTGTGAGCCACAGTGACTGGCTGCAATCTTTCTAAAATACCAATCTGATTATGTTAGCCCCTGGCTTGACAACTGTCAACATCTCCCTGTGTGAGAGCTCTCGTATCTCTATGTCTTTTAACCGGACCAACTCACTGATGTCCTAGCCAGAGGCCGACTAAACAAATCTTTGGTCTTTTAGGCCTTAGAATCCTTGATTTTTATGCTCTCCTTGCTTTTGTTATTCATTCATTCCTGCAACCACCTGCTTTGTGACACTCTTACCTTTTACCCCTCCCCCTTTACAGATTTAGCACTCTTAATGTTGGGCAGTTGTGTTCTCTTTTTATTTTTTTACTTAGATAAACAAGATTAGTGTTCTCTTTTAAACATGGTTTCCACTAGTCCAATGAATCCTCAGGTAACTACTTTGCTTCACTAGTATCCAAAACAGTATCCAAACCTGGGTCTCATACTGGAACATGGTTTACCACCTTCTTGGAAATGAATCAGGTACTCTTCCATTGTGGCAGAATAAAACCTATGGCACAATACACAAAACCCCAACCCACCATTTCAGACTCCTCTTCTACCAATTCACTTCCCACCATGTACCTGTATATCAGCTACTTAGCCCACCACAGTCTTTCATTCTTTCATCATCATGTCATGCTATGTCATATCTTGAAAACCCTTCCACTATTCTCAATTTGACACATTAATCATTTAATATCAAACTTAAATGTCATCACCTCCAACCAATTTAATTGATTCAGTATATACGTTCCCATGAAAATGCATATTTATCTCTAACGCAAGTGCTTTGTAATAGCTTTATATTAATCTTTTTTCTTCCCTAAAACTTGACTTTCTATAATGAAAGTTAAGTTGTATATATTTATATCCTCAGCACATAACAGTCTGTCAAATGATGGTTCCTCAACAAGTGTTTGTTGATTGAATAACCCACACTATACATTTGAGCATATCTTGATTTTTTTTTTTTTACTTATACTGTCCAATAACTAAGTGTATGTCATCTATGCATTATTACCTCTGATTACTCACAAGCATAATGTGATGCAGGTATTATTTTTATTAAACTGTATACTATCTTCGTCAGTGTTGAGAATTTATATTTGATGAACTATTTCTCTCGATATTCTGCTTTCTGTTTTACCTGTAATATTTTCATTTATGAATATTTCCTTTCAAGCTTAACATTTTAGACTTTATCATTTCTTAGGAAGCCACTTAGATGATGGAGGATTAAAGTTTGTTAGGCCAGTTAACCTCGAAACCCAGGTGGAGGAAAATATTTGTCACTATGGAAATGTGTAATGGTACCTCCTTTGGTCATATTTGTGTCCTGTGGTCATCATTTAATTCAACGTTTAATGATTGAGACATAGTTTTGTTTCAATCCAGACTCTGTTTCTAAATAGATCTGGAGATTTTCACGTTGTTCACGTTGTTCTTCAGTTTGTGTCTTCAGTCAGTTCACGCAGCTGCATACCCAAGACTATCCCATCACACAATTATCTAAAACCTGTATGTCCAAAATGTGAACCAATGATCCATTTTTCCAAATGTGTGTGTTCTGGCATTTCTTCCATTTTCATATTTAGCATAACAATATCTTGATTTTTCTTCTAGTTAGAAACATGAGAGTACCTTTAAGTCCTTTTTCTTTGTGACCACCCCCCATATCCAGTCTAGCATTATATCCTGTGTTTTTAAACTCATCTACTTTTCTCCACCCCCATTGCCATTATTCTAATCCAAACCATCATTGTGTCTCTCCTAAATTCTTGCAAAGTCCTTTTATTTGCTTCCTCCAATTTATTCTCCACATGGCAGCCTAGGAAATCTTTCAACAAACAAATATGATTACTTCCCTCTCTTACTTAAAATCTTTTAATGGTATCTGATTGCCTTTAAAATAAAGTCCAAAATGCTTCCCATAGTCCACATGACCTTGTATAACCTCT